TAGGTCTGCACTGCAAAAAAGAAGACAGGGAACCGGTGTGAGTCTTTATATATATAATCCCCGTTGCTACCGGCTATCTGAAATGAGTGTGGTCGACCACGGAAGACCCTTTTTAGTTGACAAATTTTGTTCAAGGGTTATCTGAAACGGGTCTTTACAAAATGGTTGGCAACGACAGATGTGCAAACTTGTCAAATTAGCCAATTGTTTTATATAGATAACATTGTGAGAAATTTGTTCGATTAAATAACTTGCGCAGACCTTTGGTGTGTGAAGGTCATTTTCTTTCAGCAATTTCTGGATAAAATGATGGGGTGAACTTCTATAGTCGGTAGCAACGGGGACTATATATCATATCGTCTAGTGGGAAGGGAGCGGTTGGAGGCCATCATCGCTATTAGGTTGGAGGCCATCGCTAGCAGGTTGGAGGCCGGTGGAGGCCATCGCTAGTAGTAGGTGGTGGCCATCGCTAGTAGGTTGGAGGCCATCCCTACTAGGTTAGAGGCCGTTGCTAGTAGGTTGGAGGCCATCGCTAGTAGGTTGGAGGCCATCGCTAGTATGAAATCTACTTAATCAGTTTTGATAGCACACGCCCAGCGACACTGAGCACTGAGGCAGCAGGTCTGCGTTTGCAACATCCAGTGCCGGCGTCACTGCAGATGTTGTCATCCCAATTTGCTGTCATGCAAAGATGATTTTTTGTTGCACGCTGTTTTCTCGCAATTTACGACAAGTCCCTGGCACTTCTTCTTATAGGTACATATCACTGACATGCACAAGGTGCCGATGCTTGCCACTCAACTGCAAGTATAACCTAATTGTCTACAATGCGTTGTTCTTCTTCATGTTGATGGGAATGTAAACCTATTATCAGCATTGACCTGTCAATTTTCTGAAGGCCCTAGCCCTAGTCGTGAGAAGATTTGTTGAGATGGGATTGGTATTTTTACGGTGCAACAACTTCTGTCATTTTTTGAAATTACAGATTGTAGCCAATGTCCGTCACTACTGCACACAACCACAGGCGGACAACAAGCCCACTGCCTACTTAAACTTTCAACTTTAAATTTGAGGCCTTGCTTTGGCTGGACGTTGCGGCAATTCACCAAGAACGACCCGAGCTTTTGCGGAAGGCGTGGCCGCTTTCTGGTGACTGTTAATGTGACAGTCAGAGTGAGTCTACCACGTCGGGCAGTGAAGTCGCCACGCACCTGAGTGGCCAGAGTGCAACGGGGTGCACATACCACTGGGCTGTGGTGGGACAGAAGACCGGAGGTTGCGTTGAGAGTGGAGAGGGTGGAGCCGGGCATTGACAGAGTCAGGGTGTTCCCGAAGAAAACTTTGGTTCGTTGCTTTACATCTTCCTGGGCATGGCATCGAGACATGTACATGCAGTGCCCAAAGAAGAGTGTACGCATCGAGGAAGAAGATGTGATCGACAACACATTGGACGGGAGGTTTCCCAAAGCACGACTAAGCACTGGCAGGCAAAGCGTTGGATCAGCTCTGTGCATAAGGGATGTCAAGGGCGAGGTTCGGCTAGCGGCTGGACGGGCTGGCAAGCACTGCGGCGGAATGCCACGGGGTAAAGTTTCGTGTAGCTTGCGGTCAGTGGAGATGGAGGGTTGGCAGGCAGAAAGGGATGCATCTCATGATGCCGGTTCAGGGTAAGCCGGGCACGCAGTAGCCGCGGTAGCCCTGTACAAGTTACTCGTAGTTACAATGAAACGGTGAGAGTGCACGGCCGATACTTTCAAAAGGGCCCCCCAAATTGCGAACTGCGGAAAACAACCGTTTCAATCTCAACCGGAAAAGCATCAAAAGCGTGATTGGAGCGTCCTTCGATCATATCCAAATGGCTGGAGCTTCGTTAGATCAGGCCAGGCCAAACGTACCTGATCCCCCTGCCACGGTGCCTCAACGTGCTGGTGTTTGTAGGTGTATGCGGCTGCTGGATCTGTATTTCTTTGTTGTTGCCCACGTGGTGCTGCTGATTTGCGTCAGGGATGCCCTCAGTGCCAAGTTCAACCCAGAAAACTAAACTTTTGAATAAGCAAGCGTTGGGCGCCGGATTTGGCTATCCGCATAAGATAGCGGCGGGTGTTCTCTTGCGCTAGACTTTGGCTTCCTTGGGCGTGCGCAGGCTTTGCATGCTCTCTCTTGAGGGAACTTGGCAGTGTATTGATATTGAGTTCAAGGTCTTGTGCTTGGAGATTGGTTGGACTCCTCTGTTGTTCTTGGATGTTTCGGAGTGCTCTAGGGCTGGGGTGCATTTGCTCGCTTCTTTAGCTGGCGCTGATGCAAGGCTGCGGGAGAATAACATATTCTTCCCATTGCTTGTGGCTGTACAGCTTGGAGCGCAGAATGGTATGTTCAGATTCGGGAAGTTAGGTAGGGAGGTGGACTGGTATGGCATCGGAGCCATCATTAGGAGCTAGAAATGGGGTGGTAATTAAGTGGCCAATTGCCCTTTGGAGTTAGAAATGGGATGGTAAGTGGCCAATTGCCCTTTGGAGGTGCAGGGTTGTGGAATTTGAGGTCTTGGTTGATAAGGCTGGTAACATGGCTGCGTGTTGGTTTTTCCCGAATGCGTAGCGAAGGGTTCTCGTTTAACTCTGGGGGTCTGGAATTAGAGCCTTGTTCGCGACGCGTTGTCTCAGCCTTCGCAACCGTTCGCCGTAGGCGCTAAGGCGCTGCCATTGGGGGAGCGTTTCGGATGGAAACGTGACGTGTCAGATTCGTGTCAAATAGCGTGGAAACGTGTGGAAATGTAAGATGTTGAAGTGTGGAGGATGATTTCACTGCGCAGGCGCAGCGTTTTGTGAGATCCGCAGTTTTCTGTGCAGCTCCATTGGGATTAGCGTTTGGAGAGCGGTGTCTTTGGGGTGTTGGATGTGGCCGTGCCATTAGGGGTTGCGTTTGGGTGTTGCATCGAAGCTCTGCTTTCGTGACAAGTCTCAGCTGAAATGGCGATTTTGGTGGATGGGAGTGTGCTCAGAACGGGCTGAAATCATTCCAAACGTGTGGCGTGGTGCAAATTTTGTTGAAGCTCACACGATACGATATTGTCACTTTTCGTGGCAGGCGCAGTACTTTGTGCGGGTTTTGAGGTGTGGAAGCGCGATTTTCGTGGCAGGCGCAGGGAGTCGTGAAGTTGCGAGGCGACGAGGTGTGACAGGGGTGACATTTCGTGGCAGGCGCAGTACTTTGTGCACGTTAGACGCGTGGACGCGGAAAGATTCGTGGCAGGCGCAGGGAATCGTGAGGTTGTGAGCTGTGGTAGAGGTGAATGTCGCTGTGACATTGGGATTGGATCTCCGTGGCAATACCCACTATAAAATTGGGTTTACATGTTCATAAAACGTTTTAGGCAATAGACCCCTCAAGGGGTTGGTGAATCTTTTTATAGAGAAATGGTTGCGTTTTGATGCTTGATCGTGCTTTTGAATTGGAAATGTGATGTAGTGCATTTGGGCTTATCAAAGGGTGCATCAAAAACTAGACGACGAGTGGCCCGAAAGCATTTTTCATCACGTAGGAAGTCAGAGTGTGAGTTATCTGTTAAGTGTTCAGTGTGAAGTGTTAAGTCGAGTGAGTTGAGGCAGTGTGTGGGTCTCTGTGTGTGTGTATCTATGTCTGTGTGTGTATGAGTCTCTGTCTGTGTGTGTGTCTCCGAGTAAGTTGAGGCAGTGCGTGGGTCTCTGTGTGTGTGTCAACCTTTTAAGAGAGCCGGGTGGTCGGGAGACATGACTCAGCTGCAGGGGCGCCAGAGCAGCTGCGAGAGATGACTCAGCCGCGAGAGATGACTCATCCGCGTACTAAAGTTGCACTGCAAAGTCACCAGTTCTCAGCTTCCAGCTCCACAGATTGCTCCGCGTACTAAAGTTGTACTACAAAGTCGCCAGTTCTCATCTTCCAGCTCCCCAGAGACTCCGCGTACTGAAGTAGCACTAGAAAGTCGCCAGTGCCTGCATTTCGCGCACTCGACACGCACGATCTCCGCAGAGGGTTGCGCGCACACCGGACAAATCGCACTCTCACCTGCATTTCGCGCACTCGACA